AGAGTTGCGCAAAATGCCATCACCTTAAACTCCAAAGGATCCAGAACAAGATCCTTAGGATGCTTTTAAACAGTCCCTCACGAACTAGAAATTCTGAGAGCCACCTCCTGGCTGGAATTCAAACATTAGAAGAACGGAGAGTTTTCATCCTGGAAAGGTTCAGAGACACCTGTCTGAGATCAAGCCACCAGGTCATACGTGATCTAGCACGTTAGGTTAAGTTATGCTTGTAGTTAGGTAGGTTATCACTTTTTTCCAATTCAAACAAAACACATCCCTTAACGGGTATGCTGTAAACTAGTTGCAAAACAAAAATATTAAATTAGGATAACAAATTAAACAAAGATGAAGAGCCGGGTAGGCTAATCAATAAAAATGTAAAATCAATGTCCAATCATAAACAAACAGAAATAAACATAATTTTAGTAGTTTTCCCGGCATTCGATTGGCGGACGGCGAGGAGAGCACATCTCCATAAAAGCAGCAGCAGTGCCCGACTTGGACTCATTCAATCGGTAGGCAGCAACCGCTGAGGGTTTTCTGAGTTTACCTCACTGCGGCTCCAAGCGATCTGCAATCTCCATCCAGCGGACTCCCAGTATACCCGAACGGTGCCACATTCCGTGGCGGATCTGCTCGACGAACGGTGAGGAAAGCAGCAGCCGTGCCATATTCCGTGGCTGACGAACGGTGAGCTTCGGCCAGCTGAGGGTTTCCTTGAGTTTACCTCACGGCCCCAAAGCGATCTGCAATCACAACCCATCCGGACAGTACTGGACAGCGGGGCACCATTGGAATTGAGACATCCCACACCATGGAGCACCACCATTTTGGGAAGGCACCCGACAGCATGCTTGGCATACACAGTTGTACACACCAACTGCTCATTTGGTAATACCTTTTCACTCAGATGTTGAAATTTATTTTTCTTCAAAGTAATTGATAGATTAGGCTCATAGTTTACTATAGATATTCAAAGAGTAGGTAAAGCTTAACATTTGAATCAACACTAATCAATTTAACACTTAAATTCCGAGATGTGTAGTGAGCATTTCTCACCTCATTTTAACAACGCAAAAACAAATACAGTTTACTACATGCATTAAAATCTACTTTATTTTACATATCTATAACAAGCTTACACTCTATTCTATCTACTGCTTCACAAAGAACTATGTTCCGTCAACTGTGTGCAAAGTTATTAGCAAATGAGCAGTTCGTGACCTAAACTGTGTATGCCAAGCATGCCCGACAGGCCCGCCGAAAATCACGACAATACGTTTTGTTAAAACTTCACCTATGATGAATTCAGAAGCTATTGAAATCATAGAATCAAGATAATTTTCCTGGTAGTTTCAGTCAAGGTTGCAAAGACTCATTTCAGCTAAAATAATGTTTTTCGGAATAATAAAACCAAAAGATGGTATGATTGCATGTTTTACTTGTAACTTACAAGAAGAGGTTACAAAGTATGCGTTGGAAACATAAAACCTGTAAATTTTGCTTTCTATGAGTCACAATCAGCGATTTGCTGATCGCTGAGTGAGTGAGTGAGTGAGTTTGTGAAAAATCACTGATTGTGACTCTCATGAAGTGAAATAAACAGGTTTAATATGTCAAACACATTCTTTGCAACCTCTTCTTGTATCCTACCAATTCAAAATTTGATCATGGCATCTAATTATTTCATAATTTAGAAAAACATTGTTTTAGCTGAAATGAGTCTTTGCAACCTTGGTTTCAGTAGACTTAAGCATCAAGTCTGCAAGAGTAAAATATATACCATCATAACTACGTAAGCCGATTTTGAGAGGTTGGAAATTTTTGGAAATTTGTAGGGATCTCACCCACCAAATATAGTCGCTATATTTATAGTCTTTTTTTTACTTTTGATTTGTTTACCGTCGACCTTGTTTTCCGTGCTGAGCACCAATGCTACCGACGCCAGGAAGGCAGCTCCAACACCTGGACCCTACCTATCGACCCATCAACTCATGAACCGGTGACCTGCGTGATCAGAGATGTTATGCCTCAGAAAAAGGCCGACTGGCATTGTACCCAGGCCAGCTGAGGTGAGAGGCAATCACGCTTACCACTACTCCACCGGCGCCGCTAATATTTATAGTCTGGCAGATAGAATCTCGGGTCAGTGTTCACTCGGCTGTCGACAAAAGCAGGCCACTCTCGATGTGTGCTACGCGATCGTCTGTTTTCTCGGCAGCAACCATTGTGTGGTTCTTCATCAGCAGTTCTTTCGATCGATGCGTCGTCGACTTTGGAAAGCAACCGTTTCGTGATGAGTGTGTGAGTGCTGACCACGTTTTGCGTCCATTGCTGCAATGGACGCGCTCTGACCCTCGTTGGCGTACAACAATTTGCCATACATTGAAACTACTGGAAGCGGCTCCAGTTCTGATGGAGGATAGCGGATAGCGGAAGATAAAGTGTTTATTGTTTTGTACTTTTTGACTATAGCACAGACAAACAGACATAACAAATTGAATATTTCTCACTGTAAAACATCGTCGCTAAAACATTACCGCCATCTGTTGAATACACTGTGGTGGGTAGTACACTGAACAGATGGCGGTAGTGTGTAAACGTCAAACGCAAGGCAATTGACTATGCGCGCCACAGGTGGCGGTACTACCAACTACGATACTTTTGAATTGACCGTTAAATGCTTGTTCGATGAACAACTTTCGAGTGTTATGTCTGTTTGTCTGTGACTATAGTTTTAATATGTATTGTATAGTGACCAAGAATCCTCGGCTCTGTAAAGTTAATTCGGTTGAGCCTTATCAAATAAATTAATAAACAAAAAAAAGATAGAATCTCGGGAAGCAATTGAGCTGTCAAATACCGAAATCAATCGATCATTTCGTGACCAACAACAGAAAAGAGCATATTAGCTTTTGCGAACAAAACTTTGGAAACCCTTTTCTCGTGACTCAAGGCTCGCCTACGCAAACCGCAAACGCAAAGTTTCCACTAACCGATGATGCTATTAATTTGCGTTCGGTTGACGAGGAAAGAATTATCAAAGGTTCGCTTGAGCTTGAGCTTGATTGACCGCCCACGGTTGCTACTCTGTTACTGCCAGATCAGCTGTAATTACACAGAGAACCAATAGACGATGCTTGGGACTAGCAATCATCCTCAATGTGTAAAAACTGGTGATCTTAAATTAGGCAATACCAGCGCCGGCCGCGCCCGAACACAGCTCAAGAAAGGAATGGGAAGGATTGTGTTGACATGACACTCGCTTTGATGGAAGCCGAGAACACCTCTGCACTTCCACGAGGAATCACTGGGATGTTGGATAAGAGGGTTGGGTTTGCAGCAGGGTTCGTTTTGGTAAACGATAAGCTGAATTGATGTCCTAACGATCATATAACGCGAAGGAGCTTGGGACTAAGCCCACGGTCTTCTGCTCAGTAAGCAAAAACGTTTGCCACTAGGCAGACGAGCACCTTTTTAATCACCGAGTTGCTGTTATTACCATGTAGTCATATTAACAAATAAAACGATTGACGAATCTTGAATGTGGATGGGCCTGAGATTAGACTCATGATGTTCTGCTCAGTAAGCAAAAACGGTTGCTCTAAGGCCACCGAGCCCCTCATATCACATAATACCGTTGCTCAAATTTGTGTATCCATTCAAACCCGGAACCAACGACAACAACGAGTTTCGCAAAATACACGATACACAAGCGATTTTACCATAAATCTCTTTGATATGTAAGGACCTGGGACCGCGTTTTTCTGCTCAGTAAGCAGGCCTCTGTAACCGACGATCTTTCAAATCCGAAGACTAAAAACTACGAAAAAGTACTTAGGCCTTCATTAAGTTCCACTTTCACGCGACGTTCAATGGACAGGGTCCTATCCAGGATTACATCTGAAAAATCCAAATCTGGCCAACGCCCACCCTAAACCTAAACCTGTTCTAATCCACCTGAAATGACTAACGAATGGAAGACTTTGACTACCCAGCCATGCAATAGTCTCATTCCGTGCCTTATGGCAACTTGATGATTCTATTGCGCTCATCTTTTGGCACCACCCAGGGGAGACTTGGTCCTGTACCCAATGCTTAACTTATCTCCATTCCACTCAGCTACTCGCAATTTCTTGTGATATAGTGGGCGGAATATTATTATATGAGACAATTCAATGCAGACGTCTTTCCAAATTTGGCAGATCGACAGGTAATCGGTGAGTTACCACGATAGTTGCTATTCAACAACTCGACAACGTCCCATCGTCAACGCCTGCTATGAGAATTTCCCATTGCAGACGCCAACGAAATGACGTCATCGAGCTATCGATCAACTACCCTGGTTATCGCCTGGTACCTTATAGCACGATGCTAGGAGGCGAACCGGAAGAATCGATGAGCTACCTCTCCCCCGAGGAAAGAATTATCAAAGGTTCGTTTATAAAAGTTGATAGTACCTTTTCAATTGTTTGTCTACAATATATTGAATTGGTTCCGCTTACTGATAGATAGAAATTCTATCCGCCAGACTATAAAAATGCCGACTATAACCCTAAAGTGACTACGTAGTTTATGAACAGCTCCTTAGTTGAATTTTAGGGGAGGGGGGTGGCCACTTTACCCCTTTGGCGAAATTTCCCCTACTGATGATGACTTTCGCTGTATGTTGCAGCAGCTTTCTGTAAGTTTCTGTAAGAAAACAATAGGGTGCAGAAACATACTTTTGTTTTTTGCTGTACAGAATCTTACAGAAAAGCAAATACGGGAACAGACCTAACAATTCTGAATAACAGACTTACCTCCGGTTTTGTGCTTAGTTGTCGATCATCTTCGGCAATACCGTGATACTGTCACAAACGAATTTAGTTTCGTAATCATCCACTCGTTCGTTTGGATATAAGCATGCAGAAAAGACAAAGAAAAACAAACATAAGGATATTGTTATTGCGATTGGTGAATACTGTTGGACTGTGATATTAAAAATTTAAAATTCAGTGTGCCTATTTGTGGGTTTCACTTATAACAGTTGATTTTATATAATTTCCTTATACTTCTTTATCATTGTTTCTTCCTTCCACTTTCTTTTGCCTTTGTATAATCTTATGACAACTGACAACTAATATATACTATTTTTACCATTTAAATAATCATAATAATAGTCTGGTTTCGGATTTCTTCACTTGGACTAATAATTGGATAATAAATTTTAAAAACGGTTTGTTTGCTTTTTTCCTCACAATAATAATAATAAACTGCTAAATATTCTTTTGCTTGCGTCTGATGCCATTATTACACACATACATACGTACTCGTCTAAACGAAGGGTATAATAGTATTCACTCCACGAAGGGGACTCTCAGTGTAGAAACTTGTGGGGAAAAAAACGTGGAAGAGGGGGTCGGGGGTTCGTCTAGACACACCTTCGCTTGCATTCGTTCTCTCGGTGTTTCTTCTCCACTCACTAACGGGTACAATATCACAACTAAGAAAGGAAAACACTCGATTCGAATACCTTTCTGTGAATTGTGGGTACTTGCTGTTTGTTTTGATGTTATTTCTATTTTCCTTGTGTGGTAATTTGATGAATTCGATTTTTGGGTTATACATCAACACCTTACTCATATAAAGATTTTCTTTTGCTTTATGATTAATGCTAGTAGATTTTGCCATATTTTGCATTCAATTTAACCTACAAGATACGACATTTTTTTCATTTTTCTTTCAGCCCCTCTCAGTCACTAGATTTGTCTACCTCGGTTAAGTAAATGTATAATAATTTCGAAGATCAAAAACGGGACAAAAGGGGGTTCTTTCTCTTGTCTACTATTACTACTAACAGTACAGTCACAATTTCATATTTGTTTATGTTTATTATTTTTCTTTTAGTTAGGTTAATTTACTTGTTTATGCAGTCCTTGGTTGTACGAGTGCGTTCGTTAAATATTACCTTCCTCTAAATTTGAGTGTTTGTGTGATCGACCTTGTATACATATATGCAGCAGAACAGATTCAGTTGTTTGATGTTTCTATTTCGAGCTTCTTCTAAAGAAGATTGTGCTTTCACTTGCGAAAGTAAGATTGAAGTACAGTCGGTCGGCTCATGCAAATGAGCTCATCATAACGGGGTCCTAGCAGATAGCGATGGATGGCACAGGAAACAAGGGAAAGTACCAACACCTTCTTTCATGTGCACAAGACAGATAAATGCAAACTTGTATAGAGACAAAAAAACAGCAGCTTAAAGAAAAGAACTATAATCACGCAATTTGGCTAATAAGGAGGAATGCAAAATTATTTATACACAGGAAGCGGTAGTTTTCGCGCTAGTCAACGTTCAACACACTCTTTCTACCTACTGTGATCGTATAAAAATATTTAGGGACTCGGGTCTCGCTTTCTCTCACTTGGTTAGTAAAGTGTGTTCAGTTTAAAGTATCTTCTCAGTAGGAAGCATCTGGCGAGGAGGAATATTGTATACATATTCTCGTTTTTGAATGGTTACCAGTACGGTTATTTGATTAGTGTGAATCTGCGTTATACAACAGTTACTTGTAATAATATTTTGCTTGTTTTTTTTTTGTGCTACATGGGACGGCAATAAGGTGAATTCAGATCAGATCTGCAATAAAGGTGGAGAAAACAACAATGGTGTCAGATTTATCGGAACTTGGTTGCGGTTTGTGCGGGGGTGTGTTGTTGTTTGTTAGTTCTCAATGGGAAAACGTGCGAATGCATTTTTTTTTTATTTTTTGTTTAGGTTAGGTTCTGTTAGTTGTTTTTTTCATTCGGTGATGATTTGTGTGTGCATTAATGTTAACTACTACTTCCGCTGTTTTGTGCTCTCTAGAGTGTTTACTTCCGTCTTTCTCTCGACCGAGATGATTTCCTCTATATTTCGTAAAAGATTTGCAAAATATCTGATACCTAGTAGGGTTGATTTGATATATTATGGTGGTAGCTAAATCAGTCATGTTTTAGTTTCATATCAGCCATTATCGCTGCTAGGATAAGGTTGATGAATTTTTCGCTAATCTACAAAACTTTACTTGATACGAATTCTCACATGTATCTATTCTTGAAATTCAGCATCAGTAAGCAAGGAGTTGTAATGGAATTGAATACTCTACTGCGCTTTGAATTGACTCGGCGAACGAAGTTAACACGGAACGACCATTCACTAGCAAGCAGGAATGAACACTTTATCAGCAAAGTCGAGGTAAAGGTGTAAACAACCTTAAAGGAATTTTACAAAAATAGAACTCAAATTAATTTACACCCTAGGACCTTGTTGATAATTTTGAACACTCTTGAAGAACTTCTCCCTTAGCTCAGCCGGTTAAGGCGCAGCTACAAAGCAAGACCACGCCGGAGGTGGCTGGGTTCGATTCCCGGTTCGGACTAGGAATTTTTCGGGTTGGAAAATTTCTCGACTTCCCTGGGCATAGAAGTGTATGATTGGACTTGCCTTGCCACACAATTATACCAATGCAAAAATAGTACAGGCATCGAAAGCTCTCAATTAATAACTGTGGAAGTGCATCTAGAACACTAAGTTTGAGAGCACACAATAAGCTAATATGCGATATGCAATAAGCTTGAAATGCGAAGAAGAAGAAAGAAGATGAAGAACTTCTCCGGTAGCATAAAAAAATTGCATGGGAAAAGTTACCACCTGCAGTTCCATCGAGTTTAGGAAAGCATCAAACTTGAAACGTCACGTAAGGGAGAGTTGATTGTATTCTGAAAACGTGCATAAAACATTCTATAAGTGACGAACCCTGAGAAAAAAACTGAGTTTTTTTTAAGAAGCCGCTTTAACCATAGTGTCATTTAGCATTGGACGAACTATTGAATAATTCAATTATAATCAAGATTATCAGCAATGGTCTATCAAAGGGTTATTAATTTTCAAAACATTCTGCTAACAATCGAAATTGCTTACATTTCTCAGGGCCAATCAAAATATTTGAATTAGCTCAAACTTGACGTTTCCTGATGCCATGATACTTAACAAGAAACGTCAAGTTTATCATTCACATGTTTCGCTAGTTAATGGCCATATTTTTATTCTCGCAACACTAGAACCAATCTCAAATTCATTTTTGATTGCGAAACTTTAACTAAAATGTCAAACAAAAAACAACTTTTTGTGCGCATTTCATAGTGGAAAGTTAGGAAAACTGTACAAAGAGAAATTAGGCAGAATGAACAGCGAAATGAGAACACTCTCTTGAAATTCAACATCGAAAGCAACAAATATTCGATCAAATAACACATAAAGTTGCAAATTTTTACGGAAGAGCTACTGGAAAAGAAAAAAAAAAAATACAAAAGACTGAGCATTGAACACCTAGAACAATCCGTGCGCATTTCAATGGTTTTTTTTTTAGTTTTGCATGCGTTCACCACCGTGCCAATATCAGTTGTTGTGAGGATGAGGGAAGAAGTGGTGGAATTTTGTGCGTTCGAACGGTTGACTACTTGGAGTTGGACGCTGCGCAAGCTGCAGCATCCGCAGCACTCGCCTCGGCAAACAACGTTCCGATGTCTTTGCTCTCCAGCGTTTCCGGCGAAAACGGTTCCTCGTAGGTCAGAAAACTGCTCGAGTTGGAAATGGTAGTCTTGCGGCGTGAGTCTTTCGATTTGAGAGAACTGCTCTTGACGATCCTCACGTCGCTCTGGGCGGTGGCCGATTTCTCCTTGTAGTCGTCGGTTATGATGATTAGGTTTTTCGTAGAGGATTTCCTTCGTTTGAGGCTTTTTCTGTTCGCATCGACGATGATGACATCGGAGCTGGTTCGTGTCTTTCTTTGAACGAACTCATTCGAAATGAATACCAGCTCGACGCTGTTGGCAGCATTGGACAGCATACCAACGGGAGCGAACTCTTCCTCATTGTGGTTGGAGCCGAGTGAGATATCGTCTACCGACTTGGACTTGGACTTTTTGTGACCATTCGGTGGCGCGCCGGAATCGACTACCACCGTGAGGGTATCCTCGTCCAGGTGGAGACACTCGAACACTCCGCCTCCAATTTTTCCGGACTCCTCGTCCACCTGCTTATCGATGCTTTCCATTGATTTGGAGTACTTTTTCGCCTTCTGGATTTTAACCGTTTGGTCCGATAATGATTGTCTGCGGAATTCATCGGAAATGACAATAATTTCCTCTACTTGGGTTTTACCTTTACGAAGCTGATGCTTCTTGCGATAGCCGGACTTCAGTCCATGTTGAGTACCGATGGATCGGCGCTCAACGGTTTCGCTGTGGCGTCGCTGAAGGAGATTGGGATCGTCTGTGGAAACGCTCGGCGAAGGGGACGGGGAAGGGGAACACGGGGACGGAAGCAACGGGGACCAACTGGCTGCCTTTGGGGGACTACCAAGCTTGTTTACTACCTTCAACGTTCGATTGCACTCTTCCTCCACCGGATCGATGGCATTGGCAACGATCTTCATCGGTTCCGGTTCGTTCGCTTTAGCCTGGGTTGCATACTTGACTTTTCCATCGCTTACGATCTGATTTAAAATATTGTTTATATCTAACGATAATCTACACTTTGTACACGATGAGGATGAGCTATTCGTATCGTTCAGTTTATTCACTAAACTATTCAAATTGTCTTTGTTTAACTGTAGTAATTTCTTACTTTTACCTTCTTTGCTGAATGGTGTGGCGGTGGCGGCGGTTGCAGAAGCTCCCTCGCATCCTGTCGCTGACTCATTCAGCAGACCTTCGGCAGAAGAAAAACTGGTTGCGATGGCCAACGATGATTCCGAGTTTCGTTGTTCTTTCTGTTGTTGTTGTTGTTGTTGCTGATTTTGTAGGTTTTCTTTGGAAATGTTGATTATGTTTTCATTGCAGGCGCATTTTTTGAACTTCAGGTTCAGTTCAATCATGCTGCTGTCGCTGGAGTAGGATATGAATCCTTGAATGTCGCTATTCTGACAGGCCGCTATCGAGGTTCGATCTTCGTCGACGTCTGAATTCTGTTGGAAATGATCGACCGCGATTCCGTTGATGTGAACCGTGGCCTTGGTGTTCCCACTGCTACGACCGGACGTGTTACTTCGCTTACTGTTGTTGAGACTATTGTTGTGGCTATTGCTATCGTGAGAGTGTGGGGGCAGCATAGATGCGCTGGCAGCGGGAAGGGCAGCGGCGGCGGTGGCGGCAGCCGTCGAGACGCTGGTAACCAGATGACCGATGCTACCAGCGTCGGACCCCTGATGCTAGAGAAGCTTCTCCGTTGTCGAAACGTTCGAATTCGAGCTAATCGTTATGGATGCATTCAATATTTCGTCGTCTGGAAGCGCAGAAAAAAAATTAGAACCGTCTTTCAATACCAACCTTGCCCTTGCGACTCACCTGTATTAAGATCTTCATCGTTCTCTTCTTCCTCCGGCACAGGGTCAATCTCTGCAACAGCATCCGCTTCATTTTTACTTCGTTTCTCTTTGTCTGCGCTTCGTTTCTTCCGACTACTACCGCCTCCATCATCGCCGCTCTCTCCGCCACCGCCTTTGTTCAACTTTTGTCAGTTGACCAGTTCCACCGAGATAAATTGCTTCAGTCGCTCCAGATATTGGCTGTACATTTCTACATCGTTGTGACCGGCACCTTCGACCCACAGGGGTTCCACCGCTCGGGGACACTTTTCGTAGATGGTCATTCCGTGGGAAAAGTCAATCACCTCGTCTTCGGTACCGTGTATCACCAGCACCGGCGACGTTACTTTGGGTACTTTGTCGATGCTGGAAAAGAAAGGCGTATGATTGGTTATTAGTATAAGGTCATTGGACTTATCTCTTTAAGACGCTGAATTCATCCCTCAAGGGCACTGAGAATTTGTTCTACGGAACTGGTCATAAACTACGTGGATCGTTTTAGACCCCCCTGCGTAGACAATTGTCAAATCCACCCTCTCCTTGAAGTTTTTTTTAAATGGTTCATGAACAGCCCCTATAACTATTCTGGACTTGTCGTCGTAACTTCTGGACTGGAGTACTGAAGTTGTCTCTTCTCTCTTATAGTATGTTTTATTCTCTCCCTACAAAAAGGACTTTGACTAGACTTTTCCAAAACATTATCAGCACTGATTCTGCATGTCCTTTGGACTTGTCACACGTGTCATTTAAAGGCTCTTGTAATTTTGACGTCCCTTTGGGTACAGATTATCCGCTTAAATGAAATATTATTTAAGTGGATCCCCGAATTTTTCAACTCTTTACTTACTACAAAAAACTAATCCTAAACTTTCACTGAAAACCTAGCTTCTTCTACGATGCTTCTGTAGCGAGTGTTTTGTCTAGTGTTCTAAATGCATTTCCACAATTATTATTGAGAGCTTTCTATGCAAACAACAATACTTGACTTTGTATATTGTGTGACAAGCTCAATCATAAGGTACGGTGGGGCAAGATGAGTCTCGAGGCAAAATGGCAGAGGTAATATATTATTGGAGATGAAATAGCCAGGTGGCTAAAAATCTCTCTTAGAAAAAGAAGCTAGTATATTTCTAGATAGAGCTGCAATTAGGGCGTAACAGCTTTTGTAAACAATGACTTCTCTCGATGATTTCTAAGAATTCAAGGCTAGTTTTTGTTTTTCTTTGGTTTTGGAATAAGCATATTTCCTAGAAATTTTAAATTTGAACTATTCTTGACTTGAAGCTATAATACGTCAAGAAGTTTTCAAGAATCTGGAGTTTTTGAGGAATTTTCGATTTCATGTGAAGCTTGATAGTTTTGAGTAGAATTTCCAGAAACTGTGAATTGAACTAAAAATACATTTCAGTGAAAACTCTAAGGAATTTCTGAGGAGCACAACTCCTGTGAACTTAAGAGTAAAATTTCAAGGACATTCTGAGGATAATTTCATAAAGATTGTGGGAGAAAACAAATCCGGAATATAAGTACTTGTATTTTTTTTAATAAATACTAAAATGAGGATACAATTACAATCTAAGAATTACTCCACTACATCTTCAAAGGAATTCGGAAAATAAATTCAGGAGAGTTTGCAAACAAATTATGAGTAGAAATCCAAGGAATTTGTGAGGAGAAATGCCAATGAATACTTAGGAGAATTTCAATGTGAGTAGAATTCCAAGGGAAGGAGTGAGATTCAAAAGGAAATCTAAAATGAATTTATTGAATATTCGAAGAATCTTTCTAATAGGTTTCTTATTGTGGAGAATTTCAAGGTAATTCCGAGGAAAACTAAAAGGAAATTGAATTCGGAAGAAAGTTTCATCGAAATTTCGAAGAATTATTCCAATGGAAATCTCCGTTGAATATGGAATGGACTATTCTGAGGTATTCAGAACTACTTGAACGTTCCCAAATGTTTCCAGAAGTTAATGAAACTGCCTTGAAGTTCTTTTGTAGTTTGAGAATCTGGCTCACAATACTTCTCATCAAATTCTTAAACTTCTCTGAACTTTATAGGGCTTCATAAAATTTCCTCAATTTTTCTAACGACCATGGATCTCCTCTAAAGGTTTAAGCATTCGCTGAAGTTCTCGAAACTCATTTAAAATTTATGTGACTTCTCTAATGTTAACGCAACTGCTCTGAGGTTCTCTGTTCTTTTTTGAAATTCTCAAAACTTCTCTAAAGTTTTTGCAGTTTTCATGAAGCTTGTTGTTGTTTTTTGAACTTTCCTAAAAATATTTAAGCTTCCGTGAACTTCTGAACTAGTGCGAAGACCTCAATTATTTTTTTAACGTCTCTGAAGTAATCTGAAAATCTGGGAACTGCTTTAAATTTCTCACTAATTTTCTCAAACTAATGGATTTCGGAGCTTTCGGAATTTCCGGAGCTTACTAAACTTCTTTCAAATGTTCCCACATTTTGCTAATGTTCATAAAAAATTCTGAAGTTTGCGAATCTCCCCTTAAGCTCCATAGATTTCTATGAAGTTCTCGAAATATTTGTGAAGACCACTGTCCTTCTGTGAAGTTTTCGAAGTTTTTCTGGAACATTTGTACACCCGCAATTTTCATGGAATTAGAATGAAATAATTCATTTAGTTCTTATGATTTTCTCTGAAGTTCTCATCATTTTTCTGCAATTCATTAAACTTCCCTGAAATTATCGACACTAATTTAAAACGTCTAGACTTTCCTGGTGTTATTAAAACTGCCTAAACGAATTTCTTTAAAGTTCTGTAGACTGCCCTGAATGTATCAGTATTTTTTTTAAGAACTCGCAACTTTACTGAAATTAGTTGATTTGCCTTGAAGTTTCAACAATTTTCCTTAACTATTATAACCATTATACTTACACTAATAAACATTATACGCACACTAATTTTTCTGAACTTATCTATGCTTACCTGAAGTTCTCTAAATTTGATTAATAATCCGGCAAAATTGCTGATATATATTCATAATTCCCTGCCGCTTTTGACGTTTTCGGAACTCCTTGTAAGTCGCTGTAAATTTGCTTAAGTTAATGGAATTATTCTGAAGCTATCTGATCGTCTGATAGTACATACTCGGAACTTCGCTGAATATCATGACACTATCTCAGTTCTCGCATTTTTTAATGAATGGAACTTTTTTTGATGTTTTCCAATCAACTTAGTTAAATTTTCGTATTTTTCGTTCTTGAAATCTCCATGGCACCCTTAAAATACTCACACGTTTTCCGGATGTTCATATAATTTTTATCGCTCGGAGCTTTGCTGAACTTTCCGAAAATTTCCTGAGTTTCTCGAAACTTTTTTCAGGTTTCTACGATTTCCCTGAAACTTTTTGAACTGCCCTTGGATTTTCTGATCTGTCTTGATGTTCTCGAAGCTTTCCTAAAGCTTTCAACTCTATTGAAGATCTCGGTTCACCTCGGAAATAAATGAAATTCCCGAAAACACCTTAAAATTTCCCTGAAATTCTCAAAAGACGATTAAACGTCACAAACCTTCCTCGAATTGGTCGAAAATTAGAACAAAATGAAGGCATCGATTGGAATTCACGCTAAAAAAGTTGAAAATAGTGACTGATTACAAGAAAAAGTGACTTTAGTGACTTGGTCTTAAAAAAGGAGGCTCTTTAGTGACTGGCTTGAAAAAAGTGACTCGCTCCAGCCCTGAAGCGCTCTCAAGTGTACCTTCAGTGAAAACACAGAGTGTGGCTCTACGGTGCGCACATTTTGAATTTTGATAGGGAGATTAATAGCACTAAACTATGTATTTTAAGATGGGTTAACTTGAATGTTCAGTTTTAGTTGGATTTAACGTAAGCATTCTATATTAAAAAGTAACAAAAAAGTCCCAAAAGAGCGATCCATCCCTGCATCTTGGATTCCAAAATGGTGTCAATCATAGATTTTTGATAGGTAAGCGTGATTACCAGCACGGCCTGGGTTCAATCCCAGTCGGCCCGCCGGGATGTTCTGAGGTATGTATTGTAGGGTACTTGTTTCGGATCCAAAACTATCCATATTTTAAAATGTATGATTTTGTTCAAAAACCGGAAGCCGCCAGGTTGTATTCCAAAATGGCATAAATTATCGATTTCCGGCCTCTACACGTCGATTCCGTTCCAAAAATAATCATATTGTGGGAATTTTGAAATATCAACCACATTATTTTTTATTTGATTTCATTGGTTAACATAGTTCATTTGTTATGTATTGAATAATATTTTAAAATTCAATAGTTAAATTGAGTAACCAATAATAGCTTTTGCTAGCATGATTAATAATCAGGCTATGTTTATGAACAAGCATAAACAATTTCACTCAATATAAGACGCATGACCCTTTTGCCCTATAGGGGTTGACACTCTTGCCCCATTGCAGTTAAAAAAAAAGATTTGGGATGACATATTGAAAAGAATCGTTAACAACTTTTGAACGTAATTGTCAAGGTGGCACTCTTGCCCCACCAGACCCTACACTAATGTACACTACATAATACTTCCCATTTGAGTTCACTATTTTCCGCTCTCCAAAAATTAAAAAAAGAAAAAGAGAAGCAGCAGCGTTACGGACAAAATATCGCGTATATATTTTAGATATATAGGAGATGGTATTATGCCAAACGGCAGTTATGCCAAATGGGGTAAAGCTGATATTTCAAAAGAAAGTTTTTAGGGAAAAACTTGAAGCAATTTCAAAAAGATCTAGCTTTTAAAATCTGGATTCTCAAGCCATTTTCAATAATATTACAGAAACTTACAGAATTTAGAGAATAATGTTACAAGAAATTACGACTTAGGGTAATTCCTGAATTGCACACTGTTGAAACTTCTTAAAGTGAAGTTTATCATCCCATTAGATCTGTACACGTACCCAAAGTAGGTAAGTTGAAGAACTTCCAAAATTCTGGTGAGTACCTATCATCGAGAAAAACATAATAATTTAGAAGCGTTTTTGTACACCTAGGGGAATTTACGTATTCTCGGCAACCTAAGCAGCGACCTTCTTTCTATAGCCTTTTTCTCTATGGAACGCACACATATGCAGTATTGGTTTGTTTACAATCTTTTGCTGCCAGCTGCTCTAACAATTTCAGTCGAAAGA